TTACGGTAAGTGGGGCCTTGGGTGTGGTGGGGGGGCAGTGCGGTTGGGAGGTCAGAGGAGGGAAGAGATGAGGGGGAGATGGGAGGCTAGGTGGGGAGGTAGATTGCGAGTTGACAATGTCCTTACAGATTGCATCAATCTTGTTGTGGAAATGAGTGGCAATCTCGTGGGCGGTAAGCGAGGTACTGAGTGGAGGAGGGGGGGGGGAGAGAGAGCAGGGAGTTGAAGGTGGAGAAGAGTCGGCGAGGGCAGGTGGAGAGGGTGTTGATCAGGTTTACGAAGAAGGCCTGCTTGGCGGCGTGGAGGGAGGAGGTGTAGGTGAGGAAGGCAGATTTGTAGAGGTCATGTGATATCAGAGAGGACATGTAAGGCGTAATGCCTACTCTGGGATGACTGGTGATGTGACATCAGAGGGGACATGTATGGTGTTGTCTTTGCCCAGCAAACAGGGGCCCTGGACCAGACTGAGCACCGGGGCCCTTTCATAGTAGCTCTACCACAGCCAGGAGATGTGAATATCAGAAAACTGGAGCTAGTAATAGTCAGGTGTCTTCTGCTGGACGTGTTCTGTAATGTTCTGTAATATCTTCTCCAAATCAGTTCTATGAGTTTCAAAGCTGCCCCAACATTTACTGTATATCCACACAAGTAGCACCAACACCTTCATCCAACCACCATGGAATTGTAGATGTTGATTGTCCAAGAACCAGATGGGATAATAGAACAGGTTTCCTATCTGTCACACCTTCTATCCAGTTCTTGGGCAATCAACATCCACACATTCCCTGGAGAGTGGATGAAGGTGTTAGCTGTGTAGATATAAATGTTGGGTATTATCCGGATACTCATTTTAGACCTAAAGAATGGGGTACAGAGAAGCTATAATACGTCTTTAACATTATAGAACCACAGAAGTCCAGCCGAATGTGACCAACTACTCCAAGGGACACCATGACCTGGATCCATGAAACTAACTACTACTAGATATACCATGCTAGATACACCATGACCTGGATCCATGAGACCAGCTACTGCTAGATACACCATGACCTGGATCCATGAGACCAGCTACTGCTAGATACACCATGACCTGGATCCATGAGACCAGCTACTGCTAGATACACCATGACCTGGATCCATGAGACCAGCTACTGCTAGATGTACCATGACTGGGATCCATGAGACCAACTACTACTAGATATACCATGACCGGGATCCATGAGACCAACTACTACTAGATACACCATGACCTGGATCCATGAGACCAGCTACTGCTAGATGTAACATGACCTGGATCCATGAGACCAGCTACTGCTAGATACACCATGACCTGGATCCATGAAAGTAACTACTACTAGATGTACCATGACCTGGATTCTTGAGACCAACTACTACTAGATACACCATGACCGGGATCCATGAGACCAACTACTACTAGATACACCATGACCTGGATCCATGAGACCAGCTACTGCTAGATGTAACATGACCTGGATCCATGAGACCAGCTACTGCTAGATACACCATGACCTGGATCCATGAAAGTAACTACTACTAGATACACCATGACCTGGATTCTTGAGACCAACTACTACTAGATACACCATGACCTGGATCCATGAGACCAACTACTACTAGATACACCATGACCTGGATTCTTGAGACCAACTACTGCTAGATACACCATGACCTGGATCCATGAGACCAACTACTACTAGATACACCATGACCTGGATTCTTGAGACCAACTACTGCTAGATACACCATGACCTGGATCCATGAGACCAACTACTACTAGATACACCATGACCTGGATCCATGAGACCAACTACTACTAGATACACCATGACCTGGATTCTTGAGACCAACTACTACTAGATACACCATGACCTGGATTCTTGAGACCAACTACTGCTAGATACACCATGACCTGGATTCTTGAGACCAGCTACTGCTAGATACACCATGACCTGGATCCATGAGACCAACTACTACTAGATACACCATGACCTGGATCCATGAGACCAACTACTACTAGATACACCATGACCTGGATTCTTGAGACCAACTACTACTAGATACACCATGACCTGGATTCTTGAGACCAACTACTACTAGATACACCATGACCTGGATTCTTGAGACCAACTACTGCTAGATACACCATGACCTGGATTCTTGAGACCAGCTACTGCTAGATACACCATGACCTGGATCCATGAGACCAACTACTACTAGATACACCATGACCTGGATCCATGAGACCAACTACTACTAGATACACCATGACCTGGATCCATGAGACCAACTACTACTAGATATCCCATGACCTGGACCCATGAGGCCAACTACTACTAGATATCCCATGACCTGGACCCATGAGGCCAACTACTGCTAGATACACCATGACCTGGACCCATGAGGCCACTACTGCTAGATACACCATGACCTGGACCCATGAGGCCAACTACTGCTAGATACACCATGACCTGGATGCATGAAAACCATCACAGACATCAGAGAACTGTGGTATATTACTAAGAAGGTGTAGAGAGGTCCTCACAATGCTCGGCGCCCCCCATTAATAGTATATATGCTGCGCTTTCCATTGTAGGACGCTTTGTGTCTCTAGGTTTGTCCTCTTATGTCATTTCTGTATTTTCTAGTGAGAAAGGATTGCTGTCTCCAGTAAGCGGGATGAAATCAGGTCAGTCATTTGTATCATTCCATAGAGAACAGTCAGACGCAACTGCTGAACCGATATTCGTGCATCTGACATTGTACTATGGATGACATCTGCTGTGTGTGCCCTTCTCTGTCCTCCATCACCATGTAGATCAGACATGACGTTCTGTAGTCTCTGCCCTCCATGGGGCTGTATGTTGTCTCTGCCCTCCATGGGGCTGTATGTTGTCTCTGCCCTCCATGGGGCGGTATGTTGTCTCTGCCCTCCATGGAGCTGTATGTTGTCTCTGCCCTCCATGGGGCTGTATGTTGTCTCTGCCCTCCATGGGGCTGTATGTTGTCTCTGCCCTCCATGGGGCTGTATCTTGTCTCTGCCCTCCATGGGGCTGTATGTTGTCTCTGTCCTCCATGGGGCTGTATGTTGTCTCTGCCCTCCATGGGGCTGTATGTTGTCTCTGTCCTCCATGGGGCTGTATGTTGTCTCTGTCCTCCATGGGGCTGTATGTTGTCTCTGCCCTCCATGGGGCTGTATGTTGTCTCTGCCCTCCATGGGGCTGTATGTTGTCTCTGCCCTCCATGGGGCTGTATGTTGTCTCTGCCCTCCATGGGGCTGTATGTTGTCTCTGCCCTCCATGGGGCGGTATGTTGTCTCTCTGCCCTCCATGGGGCGGTATGTTGTCTCTGCCCTCCATGGGGCTGTATGTTGTCACTGTCCTCCATGGGGCTGTATGTTGTCTCTGCCCTCCATGGGGCGGTATGTTGTCTCTGCCCTCCATGGGGCGGTATGTTGTCTCTGCCCTCCATGGGGCTGTATGTTGTCTCTGCCCTCCATGGGGCTGTATGTTGTCTCTGCCCTCCATGGGGCTGTATGTTGTCTCTGCCCTCCATGGGGCTGTATGTTGTCTCTGCCCTCCATGGGGCTGTATGTTGTCTCTGTCCTCCATGGGGCTGTATGTTGTCTCTGCCCTCCATGGGGCTGTATGTTGTCTCTGCCCTCCATGGGGCTGTATGTTGTCTCTGCCCTCCATGGGGCTGTATGTTGTCTCTGCCCTCCATGGGGCGGTATGTTGTCTCTGCCCTCCATGGGGCTGTATGTTGTCACTGTCCTCCATGGGGCTGTATGTTGTCTCTGCCCTCCATGGGGCTGTATGTTGTCTCTGCCCTCCATGGGGCGGTATGTTGTCTCTGCCCTCCATGGGGCTGTATGTTGTCTCTGCCCTCCATGGGGCTGTATGTTGTCTCTGCCCTCCATGGGGCTGTATGTTGTCTCTGCCCTCCATGGGGCTGTATCTTGTCTCTGCCCTCCATGGGGCTGTATGTTGTCTCTGTCCTCCATGGGGCTGTATGTTGTCTCTGCCCTCCATGGGGCTGTATGTTGTCTCTGTCCTCCATGGGGCTGTATGTTGTCTCTGTCCTCCATGGGGCTGTATGTTGTCTCTGCCCTCCATGGGGCTGTATGTTGTCTCTGCCCTCCATGGGGCTGTATGTTGTCTCTGCCCTCCATGGGGCTGTATGTTGTCTCTGCCCTCCATGGGGCTGTATGTTGTCTCTGCCCTCCATGGGGCGGTATGTTGTCTCTGCCCTCCATGGGGCGGTATGTTGTCTCTGCCCTCCATGGGGCTGTATGTTGTCACTGTCCTCCATGGGGCTGTATGTTGTCTCTGCCCTCCATGGGGCGGTATGTTGTCTCTGCCCTCCATGGGGCGGTATGTTGTCTCTGCCCTCCATGGGGCTGTATGTTGTCTCTGCCCTCCATGGGGCTGTATGTTGTCTCTGCCCTCCATGGGGCTGTATGTTGTCTCTGCCCTCCATGGGGCTGTATGTTGTCTCTGCCCTCCATGGGGCTGTATGTTGTCTCTGTCCTCCATGGGGCTGTATGTTGTCTCTGCCCTCCATGGGGCTGTATGTTGTCTCTGCCCTCCATGGGGCTGTATGTTGTCTCTGCCCTCCATGGGGCTGTATGTTGTCTCTGCCCTCCATGGGGCGGTATGTTGTCTCTGCCCTCCATGGGGCTGTATGTTGTCACTGTCCTCCATGGGGCTGTATGTTGTCTCTGCCCTCCATGGGGCTGTATGTTGTCTCTGCCCTCCATGGGGCGGTATGTTGTCTCTGCCCTCCATGGGGCTGTATGTTGTCTCTGCCCTCCATGGGGCTGTATGTTGTCTCTGCCCTCCATGGGGCTGTATGTTGTCTCTGTCCTCCATGGGGCTGTATGTTGTCTCTGTCCTCCATGGGGCTGTATGTTGTCTCTGCCCTCCATGGGGCTGTATGTTGTCTCTGATGAGATCTCACATTGTGTGTTTTGGTGTCCCCAGCTGTCAATATGCCGGGTCCCATGGCACGAGATGTGGACAGCCTGGCCCTGTTTATGAGAGCCGTGCTCTGCGATGAGCTGTTCCAGTTGGACCCGACCATCCCCCCGATACCATTCAGAGACGAGGTACGAACCATCATTGCCCAACCTGGAACCTCTGCTGTGAGGTTCTCTCTGGATCCAGGATGTCTACGTTGTGCTCCATGAACTCTCATACAGTATGTCCTGCATTGTGTCTCCTCTGGGGCCCCTGTCCTCTGACATGTCTCCTCTGGGGCCCCTGTCCTCTATGACATGTCTCCTCTGGGGCCCCAGTCCTCTATGACATGTCTCCCCTGGGGCCCCAGTCCTCTATGACATGTCTCCCCTGGGGCCCCTGTCCTCTATGACATGTCTCCCCTGGGGCCCCTGTCCTCTATGACATGTCTCCTCTGGGGCCCCTGTCCTCTATGACGTCTCTCCTGGGGCCCCTGTCCTCTATGACATGTCTCCTCTGGGGCCCCTGTCCTCTATGACATGTCTCCTCTGGGGCCCCTGTCCTCTATGACATGTCTCCTCTGGGGCCCCTGTCCTCTATGACATGTCTCCCCTGGGACCCCTGTCCTCTATGACATGTCTCCCCTGGGGCCCCTGTCCTCTATGACATATCTCCTCTGGGGCCCCTCTCATTCCTTGTTCTTTGAAGCAGGGATAATACTCCCCATACTTTCCTCACCAGTAATCTGGCCCCACCCAGGCACAATCTGGTGTCACCTCCCATGAGGAGCAGATATGGCCGATTTCTGGTTTTTCTCATTTTCTCCTTACAGATCTATAAATCCACAAAGCGCCTGACCATTGGATTCTATGACACCGATGGATATTTCCTCCCTCATCCGAGTGCGAGGCGAGCAATCCAAGAAACCAAAGCCCTCCTGGAAGAGGCGGGACACAAGGTGGGGCCCCGATAACGGCTCCTACAAGTTGTATCCGTCACTTGGAGCTGAAACTGCTTTTATTTATAGCGGAAAGCTGAGCAAAATAAGTTGGAGGAGTTTTCCGTCTCGGAGATGTTTGACTGCAGGATGTCCAAAATATTACAAACCCAACATGAGGGGAGACAGGTGTGGGAGGAGCTGGAGGGGTGAGAGGTGTGGGAGGAGCTGGAGGGGTGAGAGGAGTGCGTGGGGGGAGTGATAGGGGTGAGAAGAGGGGGGGGGAGGGTGTGATGGGGTGAGAGGAGTGGGGGGGGGTGACAGGTGTAGGAGGAGCTGGAGGGGTGAGAGGAGTGTGTGTGGGGGGGGGGGGGGTGATGGAGTGGGGGGGTGATAGGGTGGGAGGAGCTGGAGGGGGAGGTGAGAATTGTGAGGGAGTGGGGTGAGAGGAGCTGGAGGGATGAAAGCTGTGGGGTGGGGGTGGGGGGGGGTGAAAGCTGTGGGGGGGGGGTGGGAGGAGCTGGAGGGGTGAGAGGTGTGTGTGTGGGCAGGGGGGGGGGGGGGGGTGAGAGGAGCTGATACACCCGGGAAGATGTCCGCAGAGACACGCTCCGTCCCGATCCGACACATTATATCACATTGTGTGTTCTGTACATTATAACTGATTGGATGTTTTGTTGCTTTTTCTCCAGTTGGTTCCATTTACTCCACCGAGAATCGAATACGCGCTGAACGAGCTCTGCATTCGCGGATTCTTCGCTGATGGGGGCAAGACTCTGGCAGAGAAATTGTGAGTTGATGGGGTGTCAGTGTATATACTGTATATAGGGGTGTCAGTGTATATAGGGGTGTCCGTGTATATAGGGGTGTCAGTGTATATAGGGGTGTCAGTGTATATAGTATATAGGGGTGTCAGTGTATATAGGGGTGTCAGTGTATATAGTATATAGGGGTGTCAGTGTATATAGGGGTGTCAGTGTATATAGTATATAGGGGTGTCAGTGTATATAGGGGTGTCAGTGTATATAGGGGTGTCAGTGTATATAGTATATAGGGGTGTCAGTGTATATAGGGGTGTCAGTGTATATAGTATATAGGGGTGTCAGTGTATATAGGGGTGTCAGTGTATATAGGGGTGTCAGTGTATATAGGGGTGTCAGTGTATATACTGTATATAGGGGTGTCAGTGTATATAGGGGTGTCAGTGTATATAGTATATAGGGGTGTCAGTGTATATAGGGGTGTCAGTGTATATAGTATATAGGGGTGTCAGTGTATATAGGGGTGTCAGTGTATATAGTATATAGGGGTGTCAGTGTATATAGGGGTGTCAGTGTATATAGTATATAGGGGTGTCAGTGTATATAGGGGTGTCAGTGTATATAGGGGTGTCAGTGTATATAGGGGTGTCAGTGTTTGTATATACAGTACACGGCTCCACCAATGACAGGAAGACTCTGAGAACCCATCAGATCCCAATGGGGAGGATCTCCTGCTGGATCTCTATACTGACATGGACGGGGGATGGGTAACGGGGGGGGCACCCCATCATTGGATGGAAATGATCGACCTACAGAGGACTGAATTCACAGACACCCCGAAAATCAAAGTGAAGAAATGATGCAGCAGGCGAGTCCATGTTGGTGAAATGTCATTGCAGCAACTCAGAATGGTCCTCAGTAGTCTGTGTGGCCCCCACGTGCTTGTATGCATGCCTGACAACGTTGGGGGAGGGGGCCTAATGAGACCACGGATGGTGTCCTGGGGGATTTCCTCCCAGATCTGGACCGGGAATCACTGAGCTCCTGGACAGTCTGAGGTGCAACCTGGCGGCATCGGATGCCCCGACACATGACATCCCAGAGGGGTTCTATTGGGTTTAGGTCAGGCGAGCGTTGGGGGCCATTCAATGGTATCAATTCCTTCATCCTCCAGGAACTGCCTGCATACTCTCACCATGAGGCCGGGCATTGTCTGCACCAGGAGGAACCCGGGACCCACCGCACCAGGAGGAACCCAGAACCCACTGCACCAGGAGGAACCCAGGACCCACTGCACCAGGAGGAACCCAGGACCCACTGCACCAGGAGGAACCCAGGACCCACTGCACCAGGAGGAACCCAGGACCCACTGCAGCAGGAGGAACCCAGGACCCACTGCACCAGGAGGAACCCAGGACCCACCGCACCAGGAGGAACCCGGGACCCACTGCACCAGGAGGAACCCAGGACCCACCGCACCAGGAGGAACCCGGGACCCACCGCACCAGGAGGAACCCAGGACCCACCGCACCAGGAGGAACCCAGGACCCACCGCACCAGGAGGAACCCCGGGACCCACCGCACCAGGAGGAACCCGGGACCCACCGCACCAGGAGGAACCCGGGACCCACTGCACCAGGAGGAACCCGGGACCCACTGCACCAGGAGGAACCCAGGACCCACCGCACCAGGAGGAACCCGGGACCCACCGCACCAGGAGGAACCCGGGACCCACCGCACCAGGAGGAACCCGGGACCCACTGCACCAGGAGGAACCCGGGACCCACTGCACCAGGAGGAACCCGGGACCCACTGCACCAGGAGGAACCCGGGACCCCCCGCACCATCGTACAGTCTGACAATGGGTCCAAGGATTTCATCCCCGTACCTAATGGCAGTCAGGGTCCCATTGTCTGGCCTGTAGAGGTCTGTGTGTCCCTCCATGGAGATGCCCCCCCAGACCATCACTGACCCACCACCAGAACAGTCATACTGAACCATGTTCCAGGCAGCAGAACGTTCTCCACGGCTTCTCCAGACCCTTTCACGTCTCTCACATGTGCTCAGGGGGAACCTGCTCTCATCTGTGACAAGAACAGGGAGCAGGTCGTGGACCTGCCAATTCTGGGGTTCAATGGCCAATGCCAATCCAGCTCTATGGTGCCAGGCAGTGATCACGGGGCCCACTAGAGGATGTCGGGCCCTCAGGCCACCCTCATGAAGTCTGTTTCTGATTGTTTGGTCAGAGACATTCCCACCAGTGGCCTGCTGGAGGTCATTTTGTAGGGCTCTGGCAGGGCTCCTCCTGTTCCTCCTCCACAAAGGAGCAGATACCGGTCCTGCTGATGGGTTAAGGACCTTCTTACGGCCCTGTCCAGCCCTCCTAGAGGAACTGCCTGTCTCCTGGAATCTCCTCTATGCTCTCGTCTCCTGGAATCTCCTCCATGTTCTCGTCTCCTGGAATCTCCTCCATGTTCTCGTCTCCTGGAATCTCCTCCATGTTCTCGTCTCCTGGAATCTCCTCCATGTTCTCGTCTCCTGGAATCTCCTCCATGTTCTCGTCTCCTGGAATCTCCTCCATGTTCTCGTCTCCTGGAATCTCTCCTCTCATGTTCTCGTCTCCTGGAATCTCCTCCATGTTCTCGTCTCCTGGAATCACCTCCATGTTCTCGTCTCCCGGAATCTCCTCCATGCTCTCGTCTCCTGGAATCTCCTCCATGTTCTTGTCTCCCGGAATCTCCTCCATGTTCTTGTCTCCAGGAATCTCCTCCATGTTCTTGTCTCCCGGAACCTCCTCCATACTCTTGTCTCCTGGAATCTCCTCCATGCTCCCGTCTCCCGGAACCTCCTCCATACTCTTGTCTCCTGGAATCTCCTCCCTGCTCTTGAGACTGTGCTGGGAGACACAGCAAACCTTCTGGCAATGGCAGGTATTGATGGGCCATCCTGGAGGAGTTGGACTGCCTGTGTGACCTCTGTAGGGTCCAGGTATGGCCTCATGTTACCAGTAGTGACACCGACCCGAGCCAAATGCAACACGAGTGAAAAACAGTCAGAAATGATGAGGAGGGAAAACAGTGTTAGTGTCCTCCACCTGTAAAACCATTCCTGTTTTGGGGGTTGTCTCATTGTTGCCCATCTAGTGCACCTGTTTGGTAATTTCATGAACACCAAAGCAGCTGAAACTGATGAACAACCCCCTCTGCTACTTACCTGACCAGATCCTCTGCGACTTACCTGACCAGATCCATATCCCAGGAGAGAGAATCGACTCGGATTACAAAGTCGTCCTGTCATTGGTCGGAGCCGTGTAATATAAGGGGGTGTTGGTCTATACAGTATACGGGGGTGTCGGTGTATACGGGGGTGTCGGTGTATACGGGGGTGTCGGTGTATACAGTATACGGGGGTGTCGGAGTATATAGTATACGGGGGTGTCGGAGTATATAGTATACGGGGGTGTCGGAGTATACGGGGGTGTCGGAGTATATAGTATACGGGGGTGTCGGTGTATACAGTATACGGGGGTGTCGGTGTATATATAGTAGGGGGGTGTCGGAGTATATACAGTATACGGGGGTGTCGGAGTATATACGGGGGTGTCGGTGTATACAGTATACGGGGTGTATATAGTATAGACGGTGTCGGATTAGTATACGGGGGTGTCGGTGTATATAGTATACGGGGGTGTCGGAGTATACGGGGGGTGTCGGAGTATATATATACGGGGGTGTCGGTGTATACAGTATACGGGGGTGTCGGAGTATATAGTATACGGGGGTGTCGGAGTATATAGTATACAGGTATACGGGGGTGTCGGTGTATATAGTATATAGTATAGTATATAGTATACGGGGGGTGTGTCGGAGTATATAGTATACGGGGGTGTCGGAGTATATAGTATACGGGGGGTGTCGGTGTATATATATACGGGGGTGTCGGAGTATACAGTATACGGGGGTGTCGGAGTATATAGTATATAGTAGTATACGGGGGTGTCGGTGTATACAGTATACGGGGGTGTGTCGGAGTATACGACAGGGGTGTCGGTCGTGTATATAGTATACGGGGGTGTCGGTGTATACAGTATATAGTATACGGGGGTGTCGGTGTATATAGTATATGGGTGTCGGAGTATACGGGGGTGTCGGAGTATACGGGGGTGTCGGTGTATATGTATATGGGGTGTCGGAGTATATATATACGGGGGTGTCGGTAGTAGTACGGGGGTGTCGGTGTATATGTATATGGGGTGTCGGGGGTGGAGTATACGGGGGTGTCGTTGTAGTATGTCGGTAGTATACGGGGGTCGTGTCGGTGTATATAGTATACGGGGGGGGTATACGGGGGTCGTCTGGTATACGAGGTCGGTATATCGGTGTCGGTGGGTGTCGGTGTATATGGGGGTGTCGGAGTATATAGTATACGGGGGTGTCGGAGTATACGGGGGTGGTCATACTGGTGGGAGTATATTTATATACGGGGGTGTCGGTAGTAGTATACGGGGGTGTCGGAGTATACTGGGGGTGTCGGAGTATATAGTATACGGGGGTGTCGGAGTATATCGCGGTGTATAGTATACGGGGGTGTCGGATACAGTATACGGGGGTGTCGGAGTATATAGTATACGGGGGTGTCGGAGTATACGGGTCGGATGTATACGTATACGGGGGGTCGGTGGGGGTACAGTATACGGGTGTCGGAGTATACGGGGGGTATATCGGAGTATATAGTATACGGGGGGTGTCGGGTCGGAGTAGTATACGGGGGTGTCGGGGGTGTATACAGTATACGGGGGTGTCGGAGTATATAGTATACGGGGGGGTGTCGGTGTATACGGGGGGGTGTCGGAGTATACAGTATACGGGGGTGTCGGAGTATACAGTATACGGGGGTGTCGGAGTATACGGGGTAGGGTTAACGGGTGGTGTGTCGGGTGTCGTGTATACGGGGGGTGTGTCGGAGTATACGGGGGTGTCGGAGTATACGGTATACGGGGGTGTCGGAGTAGTATACGAGGGGTGTCGGTGTAT